TTTTGTGCTGCTATGGTAAAATACATTGGAGCTGTATAAAATAAAAAGAAAAATGGTTTATTAAGCTCACATTCTGGAGAACCAAGAGCAAAGCACTGGCATCAGTTTCTGGTGAGTGCCTCCTATTGAGTCATAAAATGGTAGGTAGATGGCATTACTTTTCAGTAGTACTGAGAGAAAGAGGTTACATGATGAGCCAGTAACCTAGAGTATGAGGGAGGGCTAGGCTTGTTTCTTTATTACAACCTGCTCTTGAGGGAACTAATCAACTCTGGAGAACTATATTAATCCCTCCAAACATGATGCTTCCGTGGTATAATTATCTCTTAAAAGTCCTAAAAACCTCAACACTGTTACATTGAGAACAAAGCTTCTAGCACATGAATCTTAAGCAGATAGTCTCAAACTATATTCAAACTACAGCACTGAATATTCAGCAATATTAAAGAATTATGTTTTCAGGTATAATAAGCTTATTGTGGTTATGTATAAAAAGACACTTATCTTTTAGAAATATCTATATCTATCTATCTACATAATGTATATATATATATTTATATATTAATATATACTAAAATATTTACAAATGAAATAATTTGCTATCTGGAATTCCCTTCAAAATAATTTAAGATGAATATGCATGAATGGATGTGGCTATACATGAAATAAAATTGGTCATGAGTTAATACTTGTTGAATTTGAACAAGTACATGAGGGTTTACTCTTTATCTTTGGCATATATAAAACTGTACTCAATAAAAAGTTAAAGATAAATAAAGTCATTTATTTTAGCCAATGATAGTAGTTTTAAAAAATATCCTTTATTTTAAAATAAAAAAGTGACACATTTTGTCAGTGGATTAGCAATCTACTTCTGTGTAACAAGTTATTCTAAAACATAGTGGGTACCACCAACAAAAATGTACTCTCTTACAATTTCAGAGTGTCAGAACTCTGAAAGTCAGTTAGCTTGGTAGGTCTAGCTCTTTATCTTATAAGGTTGCAGTCAAAATTTTAACTGGGGCTATAGCCACCTGATATTTTGAATGAAYGTGGATGATCCTCTTTCAAGATGGTTCACTCACATGGCTATTGGCTAAAGACTTCAGTTCTTTGTCACATGGACCTCTCCACAGTTACTGAAGCATTCTAATGGTATGACAGCCAGCTTCTCTCACAGTGAACAATTCAAGCAAGAAGGTGGAATACCTTTTGTGACCTAATCTTAAAAGTTATATTGTCAATTCCAGCTATATTCTATTATTAAAAATGAGCCTGTAAGTCCAACTAATAACTCAAAGAAAGGGAAATTAGCATACATTTATGAGATTATATAAGAACTTGTGGACATAAAATAAGCACAATTGGTCTCCTTTTTGTTTTATTTGTCTGTGACATTCTCAATTGATAATCTAATATCAAAAACTTATCCCAGTATAAAAAATAGCCTGCAGAGTTGATTTTCAATATTCTGAGGGACCATGCCTACAATTTACTCATGAGGTTAAGGAGAGTCAACTTTATTTATTCAGGAGAGTCAATCTAAATGGAACCTTAATAGTATCTAATAGTAAATTAGTTCGAAAAAAGTTCAGGGCTGGGTGTAGTGGTGCATGTCAGTAATTCTAGCGACTTGGGAATCTGAGGCAGGAGGCTGGCAAGTTCAAGACCAGCCTCAGCAACTTAGCAAGGTTCTAATCAACCTAGTTAGACCCTGTCTCAAAAAAATAAAATAAAAAAGGGGTTGGGTATATAGCTCAGTGGTAAAACATCCCTGAGTTGAATCCCCAATACAAAAAAAAAAAAAAAGAAAGAAAGAAAGAAAGAAAGAAAAGTTCAAATGACTTATTGAATAATTTGGATGAAACATAGAAGGATAATGTTTTTTAGCTAAGAAAATACGAATGAGTAGAATAAATTCTGAAGGGTAAATTCATTTGCATTACAAAATTCTCAAAGGATTAAAGGAGATGAAATGTATAGGATTGTTCTAAGCAAATGAATAAAGGCCAGCTCTTAGCTTCTCATCTCTCAAACATCCCCAGGCTCATCAAAATCAGAAACATTTGTAGTAGACTAGATAAAATGCTCTAGTTTTCTTTATAATAAATCATACCTTATGTAAAATTCATGAAATAAGCTAAACAAGGACACTGTTTCCTCTGTGCCACCTTTCAGTTGCAATGGTTTTATAGAATATCTTAGGTGCCCTGTATCTTTCTTTTTGCATGCCCACCCCTTAAAGAATCTTCAAGGGAGTTTTTGGTCCCCCTGGAACACAATCTCTTGGGGAGCTTATTTACAAACACACACATTTCTGGAGCTGACCTCACACACTTTCTAAATCTAAGTTTGGGGCCTAGGAATATGCATCTTTAATAAAATCCCCCCTGGTGATTTTTTTTTTTTTTTTTGTATAGTAAAGTCTAAGAACTCCTAGATTAGCCAGTAAACTTCCTGAGAACAGAGTCTTGTTCAACTCTACTATCACAGTCCCTCACCCTGTATCCTTGTTGCTTTCTAAGCACAGATGACTCTTGTACTCTAACACTAACCAGTTTCAGATAAATATGGGATTGAATTGAATTGGAGAAGTAGCCATGTTTTATGAAGTTTTAGCTCCACAAAGTCATGAAGAGATTCTATGTGATGAGATTCTCTTGGGCCTTGTGTGGGTTTGGTAAAGTGTTCATCTATTGTTTTGGCCTGTCTAGCTTCTGTTCTCTCTTCTTACCATAACAATACTTTAATCTTCCTTAGGAGAGATAGCACTCAGGCTCTATTCTTGTGGTCTGAGAAGCACTGACACTGTTTTCTTCAAAGAAGGGGTGAATATGAGATCCAGGCTTGGTCAGTCACAATACTGCATCCCCCTTGATTACAGTGATTGGTTCAGAAATGGCATACTACCCAAGCAGGACCAATGAAAGTCCTATTCTAGATTTGCTAGTGCTATAGGAAAAGAGGTGGCTTCTTCCTAATAGATTGGTTAAGAATTGTCTGGATTTTCAAAGGACCTTTTATTTTATCTAATCTACTTTCTTCTCTATTTGCTTATTTTGAATGCTTCATTTAAATGGAATTCTGTAGTATGTGGCTTTCGTGTGTGTGTGTGGGGGGGTGGCTTCTTTCAGTTAGCATACTGTTTTCAACATTTATCCATGATTTAGCATACATCAGCACACCATTCCTTTTTATTGCTGAAAAATATTCTTCTGTGTACCACATATTGTTAATTCATCAATTAGTTGATGGAAATTTGGATATCTCTTGAGTTTAATAAATCAATACTATCCTTTTCAGGTCAAAGTGTCTTTAATAATAAAAGAATTGTACTATGTGGGTCTGAATCAGATAATAGAAAATGTGGTTTGACAATTACAGATGTATTAATGGAGACAGTGGATAAATACAGGAATTTAACACAGCCCTAAGAAATATGTAATGTATTATTTATGTAACGATTGACAATCCAATGCCACATTTGCTTATTAAGTTTCAGTTCACATTTGAAGTTTCATAATTTTAAGTCATAATGTTTTCTAATTATGATAAAATGGCTCCAAGACTGATTTTTGTGATTAAAATTCTGCTCTGAGGACTGTGGGTATAGATCTTTACCTAGTATGCATAACAGCCTGGGTTTAATTCCCAACACTGTGAAGGAACCAACAAAATCGTGCTCTGAGATATCCATCACCTGTTGGTGGTCCACATCTTTTACTTTCACAGCTAATAGAGTTTATGACTGTCTGTGTACCAAGAGTCTTGGTTTTTTATACTGCCCCTCTCTCTGAAATAAATACACAAACCTTTTCAAATGTTGTGAGTGTTTCTGTTTACAACTCTAGGAAAAAAAAAAGATTACTATCACAATCAATAGTTCTTTCAGATTGATAAATTTAAAAAAAATATTAGTTATCCTTGTTATTCCTTGCCATATAAATATAAATGCTATCTTCTAGCTCAACATCCTAACCTTCTGGGCTGAGGATGTAACTCAGTAGGAGAGCGCTTGCCTAGCATGCACAAGGTCATGGGTTTTATCCCCTGTGCTACACACACACACGCACACACACACACACACACACTACATACATATATTCTAGCCTTAGACATTCCCTTGGGAGAGGGGGATTTGTTTGTCCTAGAAGAATGGACTATATGACCTGTGAACTTGTGCAAATTTTGACAGTCTATAACTTCTATCAACTCCTCAGTTAAAAACTTTCTCTATAAATTCAACTGATCAGATGTAGGAGAGGGAGCACAGAATTTGGAGCCCAGACAGACCAGGTTTTGAAACCTGGCATATTATTTTCTTGTTGTGGGTAACAGTTTTTCACAAACTTATTGGCTTAAACATACTACACATGTGGCAATTGCTGTGGGTCAGAAGTTCAGTCATAGTTTCTCTGGGTTCTGTGTTTCAGGGTCTTGTAAGGTTGTAATCAAGTTGTTGGCCAGGATTAAGTTTTCATCTGGAGGCTCAATCAGGAAAGGGTCCACTCTCTCATTCAATGTGGTTGTCGGTAGCATTCAGTTTCTTATAGCTATAGGATTCACGGCGGCTTGCAACAACAAGAGACTAAGTAAGTCTACTACCAAGACAGACTTTTATGCAAAAGTCAAGGTAGCAACATCCTATCACTCTTGCCATATTCTATTGGTTTGAAACAAGTTACAGGTCCCATCAACACTCAAGTGGAGGAAATTAGACATGGGTGTAAACATCAGGAGTTAAAGATGATCTGTTTGCCATGTTGATTGCATCTTCTTTGAATTCTATGAACTTTGACATTTATATAGCCTCCTTGAGAAATAATAATTGCTATTATTAAAATTATTAAAAATTAATTTTTGTAGTGTTAAGTGACTAATATCTGTATATCATATAGCACAGGTCCTGGAGGAATTCTCCATGGCCACAGTGATTTAGTTAATATTTAAGTCAGACCATGCTCCGAATATCATGGGGAGATAGACGCTGCTGCCTTTGATTGGCCTTGGTCCTCACAGCTCCAAAAAGAAACAGGATCTTGATAAGCTCTATGAGCTGAAGTCCAAAGCTCGGCAGATTATGAACCAGTTTGGCCCCTCAGCACTAATCAACCTCTCCAATTTCTCATCCATAAAACCGGAACCAGCCAGTACCCCTCCACAAGGCTCCATGGCTAATAGCACTACAGTGGTAAAAATTCCAGGCACTCCTGGGACAGGAGGTGGTCTTAGCCCTGAAAACAATCAGGTATTGACCAAGAAGAAATTACAGGACTTAGTAAGAGAAGTGGATCCAAATGAGCAGTTGGATGAAGATGTGGAAGAGATGCTGCTGCAGATTGCTGATGATTTTATTGAGAGTGTGGTGACAGCAGCCTGCCAGCTTGCCCGGCATCGCAAGTCCAGCACTCTGGAGGTGAAAGATGTCCAGTTGCATCTAGAACGCCAGTGGAACATGTGGATTCCAGGATTTGGTTCTGAAGAAATACGGCCCTACAAAAAAGCTTGCACCACAGAAGCTCATAAACAGAG